TTAAAACAGACATCTGAGGAGAGACATTCAGTATGCATCAAATGTCGATATTACAAGACAACTAACTAGCGCCACCAATAGAATATTGAATATTGTAATTATAGTTTTTGGACATTTAGACAGAAGTAGTATAGGCTACTTGTATTTTCAGGGAGTAATTTCAAATTGCAAGAAAAAATTGCAACAACTACAATTGCAGCAACAACATTAAAGTAAAAATAAGAATATTATTAATAGAATTAGTAATTACAATAGTAATTACAACAATTACATCTGACTATTGTAATTGCTAACGTTATTACAATAGTAATTACAATAGTTACATCGTAACTATTGCAATTACTATTGTAATAACATTAGTAATTACAATGTAAAAGGTGCACTTTAAACTTTAATTCGTTCATTTAACTTAATTCAATCATTTGAATATAATCACCGTTAACCGTTAAATTTATGTGGACCTACATATATTATCGGGTGCTCTTTATTAGATGTCAGTGAGTACGACTTCACTGAGTTGACATCCGTTTACTTTATAACTATAATGGTCACCACATCTGACTCATAAACCTATCTTCAGTTAATCTGTTATTAGAAGAATGAAAAAAAAAACAGCAATTATCTTAACCCAAGTCGTGAGTAAACAGAACTCTCAATTAAATATATTAGTCAGGTTCAAGTGACTATCCACCGACCTAAGACAATTGAGTTGGAAAAGCAGACTTCAATTATATATTGTAATGTATCGTATCAAGATTAACATAAAGAAACATGATGGTAATAACAGTAATGATATTTATGACAATGATGATGATGATGGTCATGATGATAGTGAAAATGATGATGATGGTGATAATAATGAAATTAATAATAATGATTATAATCTATATATTAATTCTACTAACGCTCTGGTGTAAGTTCACCTATCTCCTCTGAAACCGCTGGAAGGAATGTGCTTATTTTTCATACACTGGGGTTTATGTCACGACCACATTCTGCTACTTTTCTAGGCTGGATATTGGATATAACAGCGAAAAAAAACGCAAACCTGTTTCGCCATGTTTTGCGAGTTGTTTACGTCAGTACAGTTCCCAATCTATTCTGTTCCGCAGTGCTTAGGTCTAAAAAAAGAAATCGCAGCAGGCCGTAAAAGAACCAGTCTATGTTTCATAGCTTCATTACGTCACCGCGCAGTGCTTCTATCATCACACGTCAACAAAATGAGGGAGCATCATGTTCCCGTACCACTTCCGAGTGAATTAACCTCAAAACATCATCAATAAATAGCATGTTTTAGAATCGATAAGGTAAAAATAAAGATACAGATCGGTACAAGCCATGATATAAGCTCGACCTAATCATACTGGGCTAGCCTAGCCATACAGGCCTAGCCTATGATGAGAGATAGATCTAGATTCAGGTTTAGTTTAGTTAACTAGGGCCCCCCTCTTCCCCCCCCCCCCCCTCTCTCCCCCCTCTCTCTCTCTCTCTAATCGGGGTCGGATCAATATCTGTCTCTTATACAATGCCATAGTGCATTAAGTTTAAGTTTAGGATTTAGCAAGCTCCACATCAATACTTCGAATTTACGTAAACGCGTTTCAATATGCATGCATCCACCTTTTTTATTCAAGAGAAACATTTCCCTCATTCCAAACTAGGCTAGGCCTACTATATATATGCTGTATTTTCACGTACAAGAGGGTAGACCTACTCCAATGTAGGCCGCATATCAATACAACAGGCCCGAATGCAGTAGGGGAGAGGAGTGCACATGGACGAGGGAGGGGGTGGGGAACGTTCCTGCCCCGTTTTGCCACTATTTTTCAGTGCAATGTTATGTGCTACTCGCTTATTTATTCTGAAACTGTTCTGCCCAACCACCCTCTCCCACTTTGAAAAATTCTTGATCCACCCATGATCAAACTGCACAATAATTCCTCACAAGGACAAATTTAGCAGAGACACTTAAAACCTTAAATACAAAGACGTCCTTTACAAAAATAATGACATGCATGGTAACCATCCTCCTCAACTTCCCGTAACATTATTAACAGTACATCGCCACCTTTCCCCACTATTTCAACACCGTGCGGAGCACGGGTATATGCTAGTCTATTATAGTTATGGGCTCCCATTGGGTTCTCCTGGCAACTTGATGGTACTTGCACCAATGTATATTCCAGCATTAAAATGCTTAACTGAGAGATTTTTTTCAGTAATAAAAATAATTATTAGTACTTCATTGTGTTGTTAATAACAATACAATTAAAAAACCTACTTCTCATTCCCTTTTGTATGTCCAATTAACCTTAAATTAAATTGCAATGAAAAAAAAATCAGGAATTACTAAATAGGTGTTTTTCTTATCAACATAAACCAGGTTTTTTTTTAACGCATTCTAAAGTAGCGACGAAATAAGCCTAATTAATTTACACACGCATAGTTTTGCATAGACATGAACGATATATAATGTAGTAATTTTGTGAACGCAATTTTACCCTTGAGTATTTCTTAGTATTATGACTGTCCAGAGCTTATGGCCTGCCGTCCTTAGAGGTTGCCACACTTCATTCTTTGATGTTTTAACATGTAATGGGCTCCTATATTGGCCCATAAGTGTCACGACAAATGAAATATAACATCACGGCATTATAATTCTGAAACAACACCCTATTTTTCTTGTTCATCTTCAAATTTATTTAACCACGGAGGCCTAGATCAACAAAGGACTGGTTCTCCCTTGGGAAGTTGCCGCCATAATGTTTTCCAAAGTAAATTTGCCTTGCTGCTTTCTTTAAAATAAAGTTGCCGTAATGTTTTTTTTTATATATATATATATTTTTAATGCCGTGGTATTATAATTATTATTATTATTATTATTGTCATTATCATGTTACTAAAACCGACATTTAGGGGAATTTAGACAATGGAGAAATTAGAGAACAAAAACTTAAGGGGAAAATAACACAAAAGATATTCTCTTTAAGTTCGATTTAGAGAAATTGTTATTGTTATTATCTTTATTATTGTTATTATTTTATTATTATTAAATATTATTATTATTCTTATTAATATTATTAAATATTATTATTATTACTACTATTAATAATGCTATTATTAATTATATTATTACTATTAATTATTATTATTATTATTATTACTATTATTATCATTAGTATGATTATCACTTTGATTATTATTATTATTATTACCATTAATGAATTACTATTATCTATTGTTGTTATCATTATTATCATCATTTTTTAAGAAGGAATACAAACTTAATGACGTTCAACACAATTGTCATAATTAATAGTTTACTGCGCATGTTGATATACAACCTACGCAGTTTATAATGGTTTATTATAAACATGCTTCGTCTAATTGTTTGACTGGACGTATAAAAATTACAAGAAATAATATAACATAGCATAATAGTCTTGTTGAATTGTATCTTTTAGCTTCTGAGTACTACATAAAACGAATGAGATTGGGTCAAATTGTACCTTCGAAAAGGAGAGTACTTTCGATTTTAAAACGGAACCTAGCAGTGAGATTTTGGCAGGAGAATATCTTCCTATCACATGCTACATACCGTTATCCTCCATAATCTTTATTTTTTTATGTTTCTAAATAATTACCGTACAATAGTGTCTATATAACCATCTAGTTTTCATTGTGTAGTAGGTCTATACAAGAAAGTTGTTTTTATATTATGTGAAGGAGTAAGGTATAATTGATATATTTTATTAGAAAGTGCGCAGTGCTCTAAAAATGTACTATGACTCAACGGCGTGTGTCAGTGTGTGAGTCTGTTAGATTTGCATTGGCTCTACGTTCTACCTCCACACAGGAAACACATTCAATGCGTGTGGAGACTCCTTCCATACACAAATTACTTATTCAAAGGAAAACTTGTATTTACGAAGGCTAAGAGTGTAATTTGTCAATACGTGCCATTTCTTCCGGCACAGCTCGAGCACGCTTGCCGATAAATCAAGTCGTTAATTTTTTGCACGAAATGACATAATTTTCACGAGGAATTATAATAATCGTTTGTCGAGTTTCATGCCTTTGATGGTAGGAAGTACGGGTCAATACGACGATGAAAACGATTATCTGTATTGGCCTAGTGATCTTTAATTATTTTGTTATCACAGAATGTATTGTGTTCATTAATTTAGGAAGTCAAGACTTGAGAGTTACACAAGGAAATAGACTTTTGTTGTACTGCCGAGCACCTGAAATAAACACATTAAAAGTTTTTTTGGGAAGGCAAGGTAACGTTCATTTATCGTTAAGTGACACAACATGGAGTCGGTTTATGTTCATGTGGAATGGAATAAATAAAGGATTTGGACTGATACCTACGTCTAGACGCGAAACACAATGTCAATATTTGGTGAGGTTTATTCGATCCATTGTAGGAACAAATTCAGTGACGGTGTTGTCGGCACCAAACGCTGGTTCTCCTTCATGTACGATGGATACACCAAAATCACATGTTCATGTTGGACAGACAATAGAGTTAACATGTACTTCACATGGTGGAAATCCACCCGCTGAACTTCAATGGTTTTCCAGAGGCCGTCCGTTGACGTCGATAGCAATCAGAAAAACTACTATAACACATCTACTAGATGAAAATGACAATGGAGTCATCTTCACGTGTTCTGCACGAAGCCCTGCGATGGACCGTCCTCGCAGCTGCAGCCTACAGCCACTCCACATACAACCTACAGTTCAGGTTACACCTGTAACAAACTTAGTACAAGTCGAGGAAAGTGCCATGTTTAGGTGCAAGGGTGACGGTGTCCCGGGGATCGGAAGTTATCAGTGGTATTTTGGTGATCAGTTGATAACAACCACGACTGGTAGAATCAGACGGCTAGGTCGGGAGCTGCACATAGACGAGGTGTTATGGCGGGACCATAACATTATTGTTCGCTGCGTAGTAGCAACAATAAACGGGCTGAAGGCTAACGCTTCAGGAGTCATAAGAGTAGTGTATGATCTTGAACCAACAGCACTCCATGCCCAACCTAATGAAGGAGACGGATATTTCTTTCCACCAATGCGCACCGACCGTCCGAGTACAAAGTCGGTTAATAATCTCGTAGTACTTATTGGGCTTGGAATCGCTGGACTATTGTTTGGTGCAGGTACGATTATGACCTATATAGTCTATGTTAAAATATCAAACAACCGAAATAAGAAACGGTTAGAATCCTCACGTTTTAGAGGAGGTCGCTTTGACAAGCAAGCACAAACAAGTGCTCGACACCACAAAACAAAATCAGTTGTTAGCATCTCATCTAAGACAGATGACGTCAGCAAGGTACAGTGTGCTGTAAAAACAACAAAGAAAGAGTCGAGGTCACAGAGTTTTACCTCTTGTCGCCTTGAAAGAGTTCCGAGTGAGGCCTACAAAAAGAACAATGATCTATCAGCAATAAGTGAAGAACCAACTTTGTCTTATGAACCAATAAACCACCCGGATGACGCCGAAAGCGATTACTACGACTTTTCTGGCGAGTATTTTCCAGGCATTGATTATGATGACGTGTCACTGAACTCACAGCATAGTCACACTGGGACCAATGATGATATGGATGGGTTCTACGAACCATTAAGACCGTCATCCGATCTACTTGACGATAAAGATATCGCAGCTATAATTGAAGCAGCCATGCGACGAACATCCCTGACGAGGAACGGCGACATTTTCTATGCCGGTTCCAAAAGTTGGGCATTATGATGGAGAATTATAGTTTGAAACTTAAAATGAGCTGACATGAAGTATTCCTTGACTATTGTGCGAGAAAGTATAAAGCATGATATAAAATGTTATTAAAATGTTTCCCTGACCAAGGATTTGAACTGTAATGTGACATGAGAATCAAAATAAGCATTGTTTCCATACAATCGCTACATGCTATCGCCGACAGCTTTCGGTGATACTGGTTGGTAGGTCGAATCAGGGAGCCTTTCCGATTGCGTCGGGAACTGACTACGCAGTACAACGATTGCACTGAAAACACTGTAGCAACTGTCTAGCGATTGTATGGAAACCAAGATACGCACCAGTTTTAAAATCAATTTTCATAATCCAGCAACATAGGAAAATCGATCTTTTACCAACTTTTGTTTCGATAGGCAATTTTTACGCCCACATTCCTTTAATGCCAAACTGTGTAAAATAGACGAGAAATATAATAAACAGTATGAGATATTACCGACAGACTGCACGCTGGGGAAAGGGTTAAGTTATAAGTAAGGACGCAATAACACACAATCTCTTTCCTCTAGTTAGGTCGCTAGGGGTTCACAGTACTCGTACTAAAACCGTAATCTAGGAAATTAAGATACTTTCATGGTGTTGTAAAAATTTAAAACAGTAACTGTCGGTCTAATTATATTTTGGATATTATTATCCGTCAAGTTCAGAACTGAACACTTAACAGGAAGTAAGGTCTTTGCAAAAATATTTTCAGGTGATAGTGAGACTGTCTGCTTTCGCATTTAATGTAGGCGTAATAAATATTCTTTGATTCGTATAGTCGTTTGCATTATACATATTAGATAATATAGTAATTATTTGTTACTCTATCATTCAGCTAAGATTGTACAATAATATTCGTTATACAAGCAGTGCTTGTTATTACGTGGTGCAGGCACTATGTTTTACATTACGCCATCCTTAACGTTGTAAAAACATTTGAAATTAAATAATATAAAAATAGAGAAAGCCGTTGTGCGAGCTTGAATTCAGTTGTTATCAAATGTATTTTCACATAATTAAATGATGTAAATTTAATTATGTATCAAGTATAAATCTTATATGCCTAGGAACACAAGAACGTTATTTCGCTTTAAGAACGTTATTTCTTCTAAATTGTCAAAAGAAACAAAAAATTCGATGTGCGGGCAAATAATACACCGCAAATTTCAGCCTCCGTTACAATACTTAAGACACTTTATTATTTTGATTTTTTTTTGTGATCAGGAATTGAGGACTAGATGTCAACATCATTCGAGCACAGTGAATACTCTACCGGTGGGCCTTGCGCCTTAAATTGCTAAGGAACTGTCCGGTGGTGCTTGGTTTAATCTACGTTGTTTTATTTATTTTTTTCTAACTTTCCGGTTTTGTTCTGTTAGATGTATTTCATTTTCATTTCATTTCATTTATTTTGTCTCAATAAAATACATAAAAAACAACAACCGGTTACAATACAACAAAAAAAAAAGCATAAAAAATCTGAAACAGGCCGAGACAGGATTCCTAAAAGTGATCACTATCATGTAGGTCTCCTAATGCACTATTCCGATTACACATAAAATAATAATGAGCAATTGAAATAATACTTAAAATCTGTAAAATTTGCCTTAACAATAAATATATATATAGAAATTGTAAAACTTATTTAAAATATAATTTAAGATCGTTTAAAAATGCTTTAAGTTTCAAAATTGTATCGTCCGCATATTGTAGAACGTGTGAAGAAATATCAGACGGCAAGTCAAGTACAAAAATATTAAACAGAATGGGGCAAAGAACAGATCCCTGGGGAACACCAGATTGCACGTTACAGATATTGGAAGATGCTCCTCGAAAGACAACTTTTTGAGATCTGCCATCTAAGTATGATACAAACCATTGCAAAATAGGCCCACAGATTCCGTAATGATGTAGCTTAATAAGTAAAATTTTGTGACTTATTCCATCAAATGCTTTGTTCCAATCTAAAAATATAACATCGATTGGAGGAGGGTTGCGTTCATCCAATACCTGTGCCCAATGATGATGAGCTGTGGCGAGAATTGTTTGGCTAGATCTTCCAGCTACAAAACCATGTTGAAATGGTGACATAAGATGGTGACATTTTAAATGGTCTATTAAGTGATTACTGACAACTCTTTCTAACAGTTTACTTACAATTGAACACAAAGAACGATTATTGCCACAGTATTAGAAAAAAAAACAATCCAAAAAAAGCAAAAATCGCTCTGATGTTATTGAAATAGCGCTATATAAATTACGTAATGCATGTATAAATAGCGAAGGATAATACGTGTGTGTGACAGACAGTATTGAGGGCAAAAAATGGAAATTAACAGATAATCTTTTATAAATATTGCCTGCTCAAAGAATAACTAAAATCCACACATTGATGCGTGGAGATTCGTATACACATTCTGTAACAGAAGCCAAAGGTAGGCTTCCTGTGAAGAAAAATTGTCCTTAACCTTCATGTAAGTAAAAGAATCAATAGAAAAATTACCCTTTTGGCTTTCATGTAAAACCAGATGCCAAAGTACGTAGATTTAATGTTCCTCTTTTGGCGTTCCATATAAAACCACGTACGCAAACAGTGTGTAACAGTGCCATGGGTGGTCTGAACAGCTAAAGTTAACGATACAGTGAAAAACCAGAGTAAATGTCATTATTTTCCCCTTCAATTAAGCTGAAACATGGAATTGTATTCACGTCGTGAGATGGAGATTTCGATGATCTGTGTTGTTACAGCATGGATCTATTACAGGTTTCATCAAAGACGTTTTTGTAGCCCTCGGTTTTGCATTATGCCTATAGCCTTTGAAATAAGCGTAATAGATTACCGGAATAATTGCCATTATTTATCAGCTCACTATCATTATCCTTATCATGTATTATCATTATTAGGCCTATTGTTCTTTTGGGTTTTATATGTTGTTATAAATACATATGTGTATTCAAATTAGGTATGCTGTTTAGCACCGTAAACACAATAACAAATAAATATTAAGAACAGTGCTCGAATAGCAGCATGATGTTAAAATCATAGGAAGCATAGCTCTTCAAAAAGTTCCGTTTTTAGTTGTATGAAAAAAAGTGTCTCTTGAGGGATTCGAACCTGCAACTTTTCGCTGTCAAGGCAAGTATCATACCATTGGCCCACGGAGATCTTACGGTAATACGCAGATCTAGCCCCCTTGCGCTTTTTCTCATATATCTGACTGCAAACGTTCACACATGGTGGAGCTAAAGCTAACTAGACTGTAGGTCGCAGCTTGTAAATCATAGTAATTAATATTGTACTTAGGTATGCTGCGTACTAGAACCGTAAACACAATATAAAGAAATAGATAAATACCGTAATAATAACAGTGCTCGAAAAGGAACTTGATGTGTTATAATTGTTTCAAGCATCCCTTCATTTCAACGTGATCCAGGCACGTTTGTTCATACAACTGAAAATAGTAAACTTTACGTTAAAGGACTAAGCTTAATACGATCAAGCACTGTAATTATGATTATGATTATGATTATGATTATTATTAACATTATTATTGTTATTATATA